ACTTCGTCATTTACTATTTTTGCTCGCTCCACTCCGAGCTTTCTTCTTTTCTGTTTCACCGGCTTGAAGCTCGGATCCACGTTTAGTTCATGACAAATTATACTTGGATCTATGCCAGACATGTCCGCCGCTGACCACGCAAACGATGCTTTGTTTTTCCTCAAGAGTTCGATCAAAGCTTCTTTTATTTGGCCAGTCAAAGTTGCCGCTATTCGAATTTTCCGGTCCGGTTTGTCTTCTTCCAACATTACTTCGATTACTACATCATCTTTCTTCTGCCCGCTAGGAAATTTTGTTCTTAGTCCCTCTTTTGCGGGCTTCGTTAATTGCTATTGAATCTTCATACGGTGGCTAGCTAGATAACACGTCCGTGAAGCTTCTTGATCTCCCCGAATTGTTTCCACTCCTCTTGATGTTGGAAATTTGATACATTGATGATATGTAGAGGGGACTGCTTTCATTTGATAAATCCAGGGAGTCCCGAGGATGATGTTGTAAGTTGCGGGCTTATCGAAGACAACGAAGTCCACGATCTTCGATACCTTTTTGGCAAGGACCGGTAGCTTGATTGTCCCGAGAGACATGGCTGACTCGCTTGTGAATGCGACTAATGGAGACGGAGGCCCTACTATGTCCGCCCGACTAATTCCCATTCTTTCTAAAGTACTTAAAAAGATCAAGTCGACCGAATTGCCTGTATCTATAAGGATCCTTGATACTTCAAAGTTGGCAACGTCTAGGGTAATGACTAGAGCATCATCATGAGGTCTTTCGAGGTGCCGTGTTTCTTCTTCATTAAATGATATTGATGCACCTTGAAAATCGACTTCTTCGCTCAAGCTTGCTTTGAGTAGGACATTTCGTCTATGTTTCTTGATGGAACTTATCGAATCTCGACAAAATTTGGAACCTCCTAGAATAACATTGATCTTACCCTTAGAATTCCTTGGTTCTTCCTCGTTGGTTAACCTTGGTCTTTTGGAATTTTGATCTTTGGAATTTTCCTTTGCTTCGTGGTATTCTTTCACAAAATCTTTTATATCGAATTTGGAAAGATCTCCACTGGCCCAAAGCCTTTTAAGAACGCTACAATCCTTGGTTAATTGTCCGGTTACTTTATGAATGTCGCAATATAAACTTTCATCACGGACCCAAGTGTTTGATCTTCCTTTCCCTTGGAATTGCTTTCCGACGGTACTATTGAAGGGTTGCGACCCAAATTTCTTTGGTCCTTTATTCTCCCTAGGTTCGAACTTCTTGGTAGGGATGGTGATTTCCGGCTTTTCTTGCTTATTTCTTTTGGCAAAATTTTCTTGCTCGTCCTCTACCTCCATCCAGTTGTTTGCGCGGAAGAGTGCATCCTGAATTGTGTCTGGTTTATGAAGTATTAAATCTTCTTTAAACCTTGAATCATGTCGCAATCCCTTTCATATGGCGGATAAAGCCGATTGTTGTGAGATTCTTGGGAGTTTTGACAGCACTCCTTTGAATTTGGTGATGAAAACTCGAAGTGACTCATTTGATCCTTGCGATAGGTTCCAAAGATCGGCATCCGAAACGCTTTTATCCATAAGGATGGAATATTGCTTTAAGAACACAGCTGATAGCTCGTCGAAATTGCTGATCGAACTTGGCTCTAATTGGGTGAACCACATTAGAGCTTGGCCGCATAGATTTTCCGAAAAGAGCTTACAGTAACCTGCATCCTCATCAGCTTCATCCAATTCGACTCTTCCAGCTGCGATCAGAAAAGCTGCGAGATAGCTCTTTGGATCCTCCAATCCGCTGTAAGGGTCCAACTTGAGCTTCCAGGAATCTTTAATTCTCAAACTTGCAATTCGCGAGATGAAAGGTGTTCGCCTAGCTTCTTCAATGACTCGATTGATGTCTGGCTCCGAACTTGTAGCTTGATGAAATTTTGATTTCATTTCTTTTAATTCCTGGCTAACCTTCCTCATGGTCTCGAACTGATCGAGGTTCTCCTGCTCGTATGGAGCTGCAAGTTTTTCTTCATCTTCGAGCTGTGTCTCTCCTTCCGACGGCTGAACTGCTGTATTAGTAGCACCAGGAATCGTTTGTCCGCTGGTTTCATTTTGCGCAACGGAACTTGGCGAGTTGAATATCCTTCTTCGGATTCCCACCGGGTTTCCCGCACTTAAAGAGCGAACACAAGTTTGTATAGTACTGACGTTTTGACTGAGAGATACCTGGGATGTTTGTAACGTGTCGACGGTCTTTTCCACATTTGAGAACTTCTGCGACATTTCCGACATGGTTTGTTGCATGGCTTTGAGGGTTTCGGCCAATGATAAATCAGCGGCGTCTCCATCGGACATTGTTGCTTATCTTGGAAATGTAGTAAAGGAAAATCTGACCACTCAAGAATTCTCTCTCCACACAGACGGCACCAAAATGTGGAAGTCGGATTCACACACTCAAGTATTTTTATTAATAGGGAAGATTATTCTTGAGGGACAAAAAATAAGAATGTAAAAAGCTTATGAATTGCTACGAAAATTGCTATAGTATTTCTTGCTCGAAAAAAGATCCCCTTTACATGGCCCTTGGCCTCTTTATTTATACATAGAAAAACGACATTAAAATGAATAATTAAGTACAATTATTCTCTCTTAAATGTGTCCGTTTTGATCTTTGACTTTAATGCTCAACGTTTGAATTTGAGTTGACTCTGATCTTCATGGGCCTCGCCTTTTGGCCCAAATGTCCTTGAACCGACTTACCCGTGACTTCTACGCCGGACTCATGTTGAAGTGCAGTCACTTCGGATTCTTCTTGTGGTGATAACCACTTCGACTGTTCCTTTGGCTCACGGGTCCAATGGGCTTTATCCATTATGGGCCATTATTTTGACTACGTAGCAATCTTTGGTTGGTCTCGGACTTCTGGTGCGGCATCCGACACCAACAATATATACCATATTTGTTGCCAAATTTGTCATGCAGATCCCAAATTTTCTGAAAACGGCTTCAGATTTTTCGATCTTCATCTCTCAATTCTCATATCACCAGTTTCTTAATGAAAAGTTGTCATATACGTCTAAATCATAGATCAATTCCCTTCAAAACTAAAGATAAATGGGATGCAAATATTTACCTTAACAAAAAATATCAATGGTAGAGAATTTAAGAGATACATAAGAAGTGAGTAACAGAGCGCCAGAAACAGTATTAGAGATCCTGAAACCGTGAAAGTATTAATTAAATGAGAGTAACATGGTTTACGTAAACCAGAATCGTTAGATTTAATTGATGTAAACCGAGTCAAAGTCTCTACATAAAGCAGAGTCTTGGAACATCAACTATCCTGTGTTTTATCTGTGGACAACCAAAATAAGTCGGTTTGACAAATTAGGGATCAAAAATCAAACTAGTAAAGGCCCATTGGAAAACGGGAACAAGAGTTTCGTTGGATAAATAGAATAGTAGCCTAGGGTTCTTCGGTTGTCACGAGGATTTTCCGTTTCCTTGTATTTCAAGCTAGCGTTAGACCTCCACAAGTCGTTCGTTGTTCTCCGCTTCTTATTTCAAACCCTAAGTACTCATTCGCGTTACCCACTCCTCTTCTTTTCCTTGAACCTCAAGGTTTTAAAGAGAAAGACTTTGTTGCATAATGACACCAACACATGATTTGTACCGCAGCTTGCCATATTGAACTGAGACCAACAGAAAACATTTGACGTTTATGAACAGAGACTATAATGACCTTTCTGTGATAGCCTCTTCATAGTATTCATGTGACAGCCTCTTCATATGATCCATGATTGCATTGCAGGCCTGGACCCTTTTTAACCCCCAAAAATATTAATCACCCACTTGAAAACCAAGCTAGGTTCTGGATGTTTACTCCACCACCAAATCGTTAAGTTTCTCATTTGTTGGAAGAATTGGAATGAGAAGAAACGAGTTTATATGTGACATATGGTCTTTCTCTTCCAACAATGCCACACCGCAAAATAGCAAATCATACACAGATTGGAAAAAAACAATTTCTTTATACCCTCTTCCACAGATTTATACTTGAACCGTCACCGCTTGGAAAACTTGATCTTTTTGTTTTTCATTGGAATAAACCAAATCGGTCTGCAACAACCGCTCATTCACCATTAAAATCTGTTCATACACACACAGCTTGTTGTCCATGTCCAAAAGAACACACAAAAACATAATTCTCAAATTCGTCAAAGACAAATTTCAACTTTTTTCCAAAACTATGAAAATCAAATAAATAACTTAGGAATGTCGATTTGAGATACCAAGATACACTACAAAAAATATGAGTATTGATAACACATTAGCATAGCTCAATTTTCGTAACTAACTGCTATTAAAAAAATATGTTGGATATGACCCCTGTTCTAAAAATCCCCGCCTAGCCCCGATTACTCCCCGTTTAATCGCTAGGTCCACCCTCTCCGCCTCGATTAATGACTAATCCCCTAAAAAATCAGTAACCCGATTATTCTCCGTCTAATCCGATTATTTCCCGCCTAATCCGATTATTTCCCGCCTAATCTTACATACCCCGATTATTTTTTAGATTACAAGTATAAAAAAAAACATTTTATTTTTGTTATTCAATCATTTGAATTGGGAGTTTGTGATGTTTTACATAACTTGTGTTCAAATTTTAATAAAAATCATAAAAATTTGTTTTTACTGTAATTTTGAAAACAATATTGAATTAATATATTTTAAAAATATTAAAATAACCCTAAAACTAATCCCCGATTAATCCCCGATTTTAATCCGATTTTCCGATTAATCGCTAGGCCCATGCCGAACGCCCGACTAGCGCCTAGCGATTTTTCAAACAAGGGATATGACTATCATTTGATAGCATTTAAAAAATGCTAAGAAGGGAAATGATTAAGTGGGAAACAAAAATTTACTTGGGAACCTAAAATTATTCGGTGCCAACAACACTTAGCTAAATATATTACACTTAGCCACCGAATTAAATTATAAAAGATATTAAAAAACAAAAAACTGTTTATAGAGAACAAATAATTGTCTCGCTCTCTCACCTTCAACCTTAAATCCCCTTTCTCCATCTCCAAGTAGACGGCAAACTAAAATCCCAAATTTATCGATAGCAAGCCCATACTTTAAAGCTTCTCTTCTCCTCGCTATCTTCTCCAAGCTGTTCTTCCCGAAGCTTTTGTTCTGATTTCTCCAAGCTTCATGACCATGGAATTCAACCTGCAAAACCAAATCAAGACCTGAAAACCTTAGATCTACATATCTCTTCTTGTCGTCGTGTTCCTTAGTAAGTCTTCCTCGTTCTTCTTCTGTTTTATATATTTAGGTTTACATCATCAAATTGTTTAGTTTCACACTTCACCGTGAGCGGCGAGAGAGAACGCTGGTAAAAAAACTTCATATCGGAAAATTAGACAAACCCTAAATCGACGAAAACGAGGGATCTTTGGAATAGAAGCCTAATTTGTTCATATGATGAAGAATCGATGGTCTAATTTTCACCAGGTTTTCATCTTTCTTTAATCTTAGGACATCTTTATTGTGACCCTCAAGTTGTCCAATTCAAGTTCATCTCTGTCTTTGCAGATTGGGTACTCGTTGTCTTTGCAAATAGGAAGAAACTCTTTCTTAGCTGCTTCCACTGTTTACATTTCAACCGAATTCAGCTTCTTAAATACTTCTCTTTCCAATCAAAGAAGCTTCTGTTTTGCAGCAGGAGGTAATGGCTTAATTTGGTTTTGTGATAATTCCAATTGTTCTTGCATATATACATGAATTGGTTTAGAGATTGTAACGAAAACTATGTATGAGCTTTTGCTTGGTGGTAGTGGATATTTGTTTATGTAGAGAAATGATAATCAAATTACTTTTCTGATAATCAAATAATTTGTTTGAGGAGTTTTGCTGACCATGTAATTTGAAGTTTAGATCGATCAGCTTTGTAGTGTTGAAGTCGGAGGCCGAGTTCAACAGTGCACTGAGCAAAGCTAGAGGTAAATAAACAATCTCTTGTGTTTACTTTGTTAACTACTTCAGAATTATATGAGTTGCTTAGTATGATCAGCTCTTCTTTATCTTCTCTTGATGTTATCCATGTTTCAGATGGATCTTTGCCATCAGTTTTATATTTTACTGATGCTTGGTGTGGACCTTGTAAGTGTTATTTCCTTGAGAGTGGCTTTATTAATTTGTGTAGTAGTGATTGACTTTAGGAAGACTTAATCTCTCTTGTGATATTGGAGCTCAGTAATAAATATGCTGATGTGACAACGTATTTGACATTGAGGAGGTATGTTTGCATTTAGATAAGGTCGACTTGTAGTGAATTTAATATTGAAAGGTATAGTATTTTTTAAAGAATCTCCACTAATGTGGTAATCCTTGCCTTTTTTTAATTCTGTCTCAGGTGCAAAGTATAATCTTCACTGAGAAGTCATGTGGTTCTTTGTTGAGACTAGACTGCAAGAAGAAGATTAGACAAGAGTATGAGAAGAAGAGGAGAAGCAGATCGATCTTAGAAGGAAGATGCGAGCTCATTTTACTTGTGGCACTTGTTGTCTTAATGTTAGTTAAGACTTGTAGTATATGTTAAGGATTGAGGTTTATATATAATATATATACTAAATTTTGTGCAAAAATAGGTTCCTTGCAAATGTGTAACAAACTATTTCAAACCAATAGGTCTTATATAGCAACACAGAATAGAGCTACTAAACAATATACATTATGATCCATAAAAAGAGCTGCGGAACAATAGTTCAATAACCCATAAAAAGAGCTACAAAATAAATGGTATAACATAAGTTTTGTGCTGCAAGAAAGGAAACCTTAGCATTTATTCTACGCTATGATGTGTGAACATATAATAGCAGAACAAAAAAGCGCTATCATAAGGCCACTCTAAGATAGCTCCGGCAAACACAGCGTTTATGAATCCGCTATATAAACGATATCATAGCGTTTTCCGTGTGTTAAGAATGCCCATATTTCTTGTAGTGATAGGGATAAAGAAACATAAGATTGAGACCGTAAGTGTGATATATACCATATTTGTCATGCAGATCCCAAATTTTCTGAAAACGGCTTCAGGTTTTTCGATCTTCATCTCTCAATTCTTATATCACCAGTTTCTTAATGAAAAGTTGTCATATACGTCTAAATCATAGATCAATTCCCTTCAAAACTAAAGATAAATGGGATGCAAATATTTACCTCAACAAAAAATATCAATGGTAGAGAATTTAAGAGATACATAAGAAGTGAGTAACAGAGCGCCAGAAACAGTATTAGAGATCCTGAAACCGTGAAAGTATTAATTAAATGAGAGTGACATGGTTTACGTAAACCAGAATCGTTAGATTTAATTGATGTAAACCGAGTCAAAGCCTATATATAAAGCAGAGTCTTGGAACATCAACTATCCTGTGTTTTATCTGTGGACAACCAAAATAAGTCGGTTTGACAAATTAGGGATCAAAAATCAAACTAGTAAAGGCCCATTGGAAAACGGGAACACGAGTTTCGTTGGATAAATAGAATAGTAGCCTAGGGTTCTTCGGTTGTCACGAGGAATTTCCGTTTCCTTGTATTTCAAGCTAGCGTTAGACCTCCACAAGTCGTTCGTTGTTCTCCGCTTCTTATTTCAAACCCTAAGTACTCATTCGCGTTACCCACTCCTCTTCTTTTCTTTGAACCTCAAGGTTTTAAAGAGAAAGACTTTGTTGCATAATGACACCAACACATGATTTGTACCACAGCTTGCCATATTGAACTGAGACCAACAGAACACATTTGACGTTTATGAACAGAGACTATAATGACCTTTCTGTGATAGCCTCTTCATAGTATTCATGTGACAGCCTCTTCATATGATCCATGATTGCATTGCAGGCCTGAACCCTTTTTAACCCCCAAAAATATTAATCACCCACTTGAAAACCAAGCTAGGTTCTGGAAGTTTACTCCACCACCAAATCGTTAAGTTTCTCATTTGTTGGAAGAATTGGAATGAGAACAAATCGATCTTCATCTCTCAATTCTCATATCACCAGTTTCTTAATGAAAAGTTGTCATATACGTCTAAATCATAGATCAATTCCCTTCAAAACTAAAGATAAATGGGATGCAAATATTTACCTCAACAAAAAATATCAATGGTAGAGAATTTAAGAGATACATAAGAAGTGAGTAACAGAGCGCCAGAAACAGTATTAGAGATCCTGAAACCGTGAAAGTATTAATTAAATGAGAGTGACATGGTTTACGTAAACCAGAATCGTTAGATTTAATTGATGTAAACCGAGTCAAAGCCTCTATATAAAGCAGAGTCTTGGAACATCAACATCAATTTAAGTCGGTCTTACAAATAATAATGGATCAAAATCAAATTAGTAGAGGCCCATTGGAGAATGGGAACACGAGTTTCATTCGATAAATACTAGCATAGGGTTCTTCGGTTGTCACGAGGGTGTATTTTCTGTTTCCTTGTATTCCAAGCGTTAGACCTCCACAAGTCGTTTGTTGTTCTCCGCTTCTTCTAAACGCCACGACGGTTCTTGCGACGGCTGAGGTACTGTGTTTCTTATATTTCTCCCAAAAACTAAGTACTCATTCGCGTTATATAACCTATTTTTAAACCGTAATTGATTTAGGCTAGAAACAGAGAATCTGACTTTTATGTTTCTTATGTTTTAGTGGTTGTAGGAAAACTATGTCAATCTCTGAGAAGCCTCTAGAGAGCATAGGATGGATCGAGAAAACGGCATATGTGGTTGCACTAAAGGGGCCGGAGGTTGAGAAGGCGATCAACATATACCCGTTATTATAAATATGAATTATTTACCATTTAGCAAATTGAATAAAAGAAATGATTCATACACAAAAGAACAGACAATTACGACTTAGCAATTCTAATCGATATTAACAAATACAAAAAAAAATTATGTTGAAATTGGCTAACGGTTATATAGTTCAGGTTTGTTATTTAAAATTTATGTGGGTTCGGGTTGATAAATGCAGAGAGTCAGAGTTTGAGTTGAAAAATGCCGCATAAAAATAATTGGGGTTGATTTTAGCCGTTTTTCATACTACAGTCTACATACATATACGTTTGTGTTACAAAAACAAAAAGAGTTATACTGTATATCCAAACCGATAAATGAATAAATTTTAGCTTAAAATAGCTTTAAATTTAAACAAGCACTAGATAAGGTAAATTTTATACTATTTAGTATTTTTACCATTTGATATAGTTGTAATTAGCGAGTATATTATTAACCATGTGGTCTTTCTTTTTTTTGTTAGGGGTCACGCCACACAATTGGTAAAAATCAGTGCCGGTTTATTATGAATAGACTATACAACTTTAGTAGCACCGGTTTACCCGACCCTGCTCTCAACAATAGTTAGCTCCAAACTCTTGGTGGATTACGTCCCATAATGGTAATTTTAATGCCTTGGTAATTTTGATCTTATATACTATATAGAGCGACCACGATTTTGGAAAACAAATACTATGTGAACCTTGGTGAGCGAAAAGATCTTATCCAGAGTGACCAAGATTTTTCTCTAGACCCAACGCCACACACACAATTCCTTTGGTGAGATCATATATGCTAATAGCACACAAACCTTCTTCAATGCGTTTGTGGTGGTGATGAGTATGATAGGAAATGCTACATGTTGATTAAGAAAATCACACAATGAATTTGTTTAAAGGTGGAAAACAAATTCAATTAACCCTCTTGCTAATTCTGATCAAAGATTCCAAAGAAAGATGAATTTTTATTGCTTAGAGACAAAGTTAGGGTTTTGCTCAAGAACAATTAGGGTTTTTGCGAAAAGTTGAAGATCCCTTGAATAGAGGACAAACCCCTCTATATATACATATTTCAGGCGGTTTAGGGATATGCTAATCTTCTAAATCTTCGGGGCCTTATCCTCTGCTTTTCTTTTCTTCTCGCGATTCTTCTTTCTTTTCAGGAAAATCTTTTTTTTTTTGAACAAGGAAGTCGGTTTAGGCGATCTCCCGTCTTCGAGGCGAGTTCGCCAGACGACCTCATTTCTTCAACCAATTAACAGGCTTAACCGGGATTCTCCGGTTTAACCGAGATCTCAATTTCATTCGTAATTCGTCCAGTTTAAGACGGTATTGTCGGAGGTGCTAATTCCTGCACCAACACTACACCTCTTACAAGAACTCAAGGACAAATCAGATTGAATTTTAGGGAGCTAAATTCCAACTCTTTACTTCATGATGCGGTTGAAATTGTTAACTTTGTTATCTCTATGTGAGAATAGTTGACTAATGTGTCTACCAGAATATATGTTGAGACAATAAAACGCTCTGAATTGATACTTGAGCAGTAGAAGATCTTGATCACTGCTGACCGAGCTTGCATTATCAAATAGTAATTTACAGGATAACTAATATAATGTTAGACTTTACAAACCAGTGAAGAAAGCTTAAAACTCTTAGAACCTGCGTGGTTCGCTTCATGTTTTGGTGCAATCAAAAGCATTCATCAAGGGTTTCATGCCGTTTTCTCCTTTATAACAAGTCTCATGATAAGTTTAATCATGGTGCTAATTAAATTCTTTTTTCACTATTAATTATGTCATAACCTTTTAACGAAATAACGATGCATTTCACGTATAATAATTGAAAGATCCATCACTAATCTAGCTACCAGATAAAAGTTTAAAAAAAAAAAAAAAAAAATCTAGCTAGCAGATGTTATATCAACAAAGCAATGATCATATTGAGACAGATTTTCTTCCTTTTTCACAGCCTTTTTATAAATTTTATTTATTTCAGTTCGTTATCATAACACACCTCATTTACTGGATAGCCCATTTAAACACCTCAAAAATAACACAACCCTACGTAGCTTTTACAATTAGTGTCGAGAATTGATCCCTTGATTGATCATACAAAAGGAAACAAAAGGTGTGAGACGATGATGATGATTGATGAAGGACAACGAAGATAGCAAGTAGAAGAAGAACCGTATTACCATGTGTCTAGAGTCAAGTAGCTATTGAGTTGGTAATAGGCAGTAATAGTTGTTATAAGAGATGTATGTTTGCTGTTGTAAAAAAAGAAAAAAGAAAGAAGAAATGTACTAGTTTTAAGAAAACACTTACAACTTAATTTGAGAAATGAAACAAAAGCATCCACAAGATCAAAATATCAACAATTGCTAAACAAAAGTACTTTTCATCGGATAAACACAAAACGAACGTCTTTAGAAACTACAATCGGTCATGTCATGGTGAAGACCTTCTAGAATTCGGTGAATTTTTTTTCTTACTCCTATATAATTTCTATGCTTATTTTAATGCCAGAATCATTATATAAGTATCTGTACTATTGTTTATAATAAGATAACTATTAACAAAAAAAGAAAGAAATAAAAAAACTAATCAAGAACAAAAAGTTATTGTATGTTTTAGGTCCTGAGCTTAGAAAATGCTTTGTAATTATCATCGTTGGCGAGTTTTGGATGTAAATTACTAATATAGTTAGGTTTTGCAAGCTAGTGTTCCATGCAAGCAATTTGTGGCGACAATTGAAAAAAATAAGCCAATCATAGAGGTCTAGGTTCAATAATTCAATTCGATTTCAGAGGTATCTTAGCTTTGCAATAGAAGATTTCGTTAGCTGCAAGATGACAAAAAATTAAGTCGATCTAGAATGACAGAAAATAAATTTGTGGGTTTTGTTTTCTCCCAAACTTAAGATTTGGAAGAATTTATTCTTTAAATTCGAACTAAATATTAACAAAAAAAAAAAAGAATGTGATCTTTAAGTCCGTCAAAAATAAATTTCAACAATCTTTTTTTCTCCAAATTAAAAGTTATGCAAATGAAACCGTCGACGTGAGATACCAAGATAAGAATAAAGAAGGAGAAGAATGAAATGGTAAGTGGAATGGATACCATATATTAAATGAATCTCGTTGTCAAGTTTGTTGTCATGAGGATCCCAAAATTCTCATATCATGAGTAAAAGAAAAAAGTCATTTTGGCCACTACAACAATCATATACTTGATGGGGAAGAACAAGTAAAGATAAATAGTATGAATACTCTCAGAGAAAGAGGACGAGCTAGACCTCTCCAAATCGGCAAAGATGTCCCACTCTGGAAAAAAGAAAAATAGTTCTTATAAGTGCAAGTTCTCCTAACAAGAAACTTGGCATTTGACTCGGGAGGCTAATCCAATCTGGAATTGGTACAAGAGTGTTTGGTTTACGAACTCGACTCCTAAATACTCTTTAATTACTTGGATTACTATTCATAACCGTCTTGCGACGGGGGACAAACTGCTGCGATGGAATGTTGGAGCAAATGGTAGTTGTTTTTTTTTTTTTTGCGGGATCACTTGTTCTTCTCATGCTCTTACTCCTCCCAAGTATGGTCGGATCTTGCCCACGGCATCCTTGATCACAGGTTTACTACAAGTTGGAAGTCTCTTACTCACGGCATCGTCCACTTCTTCTCTACACTCTTTTCTATTGAGGTATGTCGTTCGGCTCACCATTCATAGTATATGGTGGGAGTGTAATGGTCGTCGACATGGTGAGACACCAATACCTGCTTCCAAGCTAACAAGATTGATCGATAAAAACGTCCGTAGTCGGCTAAGTACAATGACAATGACGGGTTCAAACGAAAGTGGCATGAAATTATGGTTCCGACTTCGTAGCTATTAGTCACCTTGTTCAAGTTTTTAATTTCTCTTTCAAAAATAATATTTTAATATTTTGGCTCTTAAGATGCATTTATTGTAAAACAATCATTTTTTGGTGAATATATTTTTATATTCATACAAAAGAAAAAAAAGATAAATAGTTTGCAATATTACTGGAAGAAAAGCCGGAAAAAAAGAATGGTAGAAAGTTCCATAAGAAGTGAATGGAGTCGATGATCGTAAGAAGTGATAAATAGAAAAGAAAGCATAAGAAAAATAGAAGGATGTTTGAGATGAGATTAATTTTTTTTTTATAAGTCTAACCATGAAATTATGGGGATTATAGTTTAATTGCAGTAAATACGATTTCAAAAAATTCAATATTTGTCGCTTATTTAAAATGCTGAGATAAGAAAAGTTGTTGGGTTTTTGTTTACTATGGACAACAGAAAGAGGGAAAAAAAAAACAGGTCCATTCTACCAAATTAAGTCGGTCTGGCAAATGATTATGGATCAAACTTTGTAAATCCAATTAGTAAATGCCCATTAGAAAAACGGGAACAGATAAATGCTCGCCTAGGTTAGGAATCACCTTCGGCTGTCAAGAGGGGATTTTCCAGTTTCCTTGTATCGTCGATGTCTAAGCTCCATTGATAATGATTAAATTTAATAAAATAGCAAGGTGGTCCAAATGAGCAAAAACATATTTTATATATGTTAATCTGGGCTTTTCACATCTCTCTCTCGCTTCCGACTCAACACAGCTAGTCAAAGCTTTAAAATCGGAGCTTCAACACAATGAGCTTCATGGGATTCTCTTCGATATCCTGAATTTATCTTCTATCTTTGATGTTATTTCGTTTAGTTTCATTCCCCGTTTGCAGAACTCAGATGCCGATTCATTGGCAAAACAGTCTCTGGTTTCTCTTGTAATGGGCCTGCCCCAAACCTAAGTTAAATTGAATAAGTCTTTGCGCAAAAAAAACAAATATATATGTTACACTTAATTATAATCATATTTAATTTAGAAAAATGACTTCAGATGATATAATAAATTTTTTTTTTTGAAAGTTTATTTTAAAAAACTTTAGTTCAGTTTTAATATATATATATATATATATATATATAATTTCAATTGTTTGAAAACAAAATAAATATGCCATTTGTATATATATATATATATATATATATATATATATATAGATCATAAGAGTGCAAAAATTTAATAAATATAATGTAATGCCGTTTATCTAAATACTTTAATGGCATGTTAGGTTTTAACTGAATTAGTCAATTAGTATATTCTATACAAATGCCCTTAGCAAACATAATTCTTTTCAAAAATCCCATGAGGGTAGATTAAAAAAAAAACCTTTGGTGGAACTTTTTGAATTTTTTGGTTGAATTTTATTGGGTTGGTTTTATGGAAACCTTGATAAAAATAAATACATATTTTATATTCTTTCATATGATCTTTATTTCTTACTTAATTTGTATGATAAACTAAAAAAATTGAATTCAAAACATAATCAAGTCAAATGTTATACAATATTAAAAATAAAATAAAAAACTATTTACTCGAGATATATGAAACCCAAACGTCGATCCCTCTCAAACGTTGAGTAATTATGTAAAAGAAATAAAGAATGGCATTAACTATCTGATTTTTTTTTTTTTTTTGACTCATGATCCTATGAGTTTTACGTATTCAAGAACAAAATCATCTTGAAACAGCTTTATATATTCATAAATTTGATAACAATTAAACTCTTAACTTTTTGATAAGTGATGTTGAGAATAATTACATAAATGGTTTTTCAATTTATATCATAAATTTTTTTAACATACTTATGGTTTTCAAATTTATGAATACATATAGATCATAAGAGTAAAAAAATTTAATAAATATAATGTAATGTCATTTATCTAAATACTTAAATTTATAATTACACTTTAACTGACCAAAATAATAGATATAAATTTTCTCAATGTATGTATATAAATCTTATTGGTGAGTTGAAAAATAGAGAAACAATTAAAAATAGAACTTAAAAAAAAAAATAGAACACTTTTATGTAGAACTAATGGTGTTGGTGAACCTAATTTGAACACCATATGAAATCACAAGCCTAAATTGAACACCAAATGAGAAAACTTTGTAGATATTTTTACTATATGGACGATAGCATGAAATAAAGAGAAAGCAACTAAAAGTCAATAAAAAATAAAAGAACGGACTCGAAAAAGCAAAAACTTCACAATAGTTTTTTTAGCTTCACATGTGGGTAATATATAAAAGCAGACTTAGCGTACATGTTTGTGAATTAATTGGATTTAATGTTTGGTTTGAATTAATTAGAGTTATTGTGGTTATCTATTAGCCTAATCACTAATGCATCAATTTAGACTTATTTGACGTTATATATGTTTTAATAAGTTCATTTGTGGGTTTTACTTTGGGTAACTAATTCCAGAACAAAAAAAAAAACACTAATATATTTCGGTATTAGAAGCCACATGAAAAGCGTTACTGGAGAAGAAAATTCGTTGCAAACATTTATTTTGAGAGAAGGCGTAACACATGGAGCAATACATTAATATAATGCACTCTACTATATTTCTTTATTAAAATTATATTGACTGTTATATAAGTTAGAATTTTATTCACTGAGACATTTATAAAACAATATATGGGATGAAATATTAAATTTAATAATTCAAGTAAATTATATTATACTATATAAATACATTAAATGTATTGTGTAATAAAAATTCTAAATAAATACTCCAACTTGGAGTTGTAACGTGTGAGAATAAATTGGTGTTGTAAATTTTTTTTTTAAAAAAGTTAGATTGGAAAGAAGAAAAAAAAAAGAGAAATTTTTTTTATAAAAAAAGTTAGATTGGAAAGAAGAAAAAAAAAGAGAAATTGTTTTTATAAAAAAAGTTAGATTGGAAAGAAGAAAAAAAAAAGAGACAAATTAGAAAAGATTAGAAATGTATTTTATGGAGATATTAAAATATTATGTAAGATAGAAAAATGAGGAAAACAATTAAATTTAAAAATAGATGCCAAATGTACTAATATTATGAGAAGTTTAAAAAATGTACTAATATTTTGTGAAGTTAAAATTTTACTGATCCATCATTTTGAATCAGATGAAGAAGTGGTGATTTTAAGTAGATAATAATTTTGGTAAAACAAATTAGATACAAATTTCAATTTAAATACATGTCAAATGTATCAATAGGATAAGAGAAATATCTTTTTTGGAATTAAATTGTAAGCACAAACTTTCAAAACTAAGGATTTTAAATAAATTAAAACAAACATTAATGAAATGAAGAAGGACAAATATCACCAAAAGTGAGTGCCAAATGTCGCAATGGTATGAAAAGTTAGAAGAAAACCTTCTCATATTATATAAAATATAAAATGCTGAGATAAGAAAAGTTGTTGGGTTTTTGTTTACTATGGACAACAGAAAGAGGGAAAAAAAAAACAAGTCCATTCTACCAAATTAAGTCGGGTGCTGTTCGTTACTCCATTCAGATGGATCATCTGAATGGAGATGAGTTATGATGTTCGTTTATAGCAATTTTACAGAGCAGTGAGATGAACCAGTTGGATGATTTTTATTAAACTCATCCAAAAAATGATCATTTTCCGACTGAGTCTGATTGGAGCAGTTGACTGGAGCTATTCAGTCTAAAATATAAAATGACCTAAATACCCCTATCTAAGTTGGAGAATTACACCAAAAAACCTAAACCTACTTCTCATCATTCTAACCACGACAAAGACTCAGAGAGCCATCCTTCGACAAAGTGAGAAGAGAAACGAGATCTTCGTCGGATCTCTTCGCAGCTGGATCTCTCCGCCGGATCTCTCGCCGGAATCCACTCCTCTTTGATCTTCTCCCTCCACTCCACTCGTCTTTGATCTCTCCGCCGGCTGTCTTCTTCTCTCTCGTGCGTGGGTTTGAATTAGCTGCGACCATTGTTTGAGAGGTAAGACTCATGGGTTTGATTATTGGATTTGATTAGGTAAGCAACGGAAAATCTGATTTTTTTTTTTTTTTTTTTTTGGCATGTTTTAGTGCTTGTATAGAGAACATGGCGGCAGGTGAAATAATCACTGAGCAGCCTCCAGAAAGCATAGTAGGATTGATCGAGAAAATGGCATATGTGGTTGCACTAAGGGGGCCGGAGTTTGAGAAGGAGATGATAATCGTTAATAGGGGAGATACAACTTTCAGCTTTATGAGTAGCTCAGACCCTAATCACGCTTTGTACCAGCAAAAGCTTACTGAATATCAAGGAGGTAAACCTCCGGATTTCCAACCTAATACTCCAGCTACTCGTGAGCCTAAGGGCAAAGCACAATCCTATGATCTTGAGCCTCCTCCCTCAAAGGAGCCTCGATATACCGAGATCTCACGCAGGGAGAAGGAGCTTTGTACTATTAAGCTCATTGCGCAGTTTGTGGCGCGGTATGGGAAGCTTTTTCATGAGGATTTGAAGCGTGTAGGTGTTATGAGCCCTATGTTTGACTTTATTAAGCCAACTAATAGCAACTTCGGTCTTTATAATGCCCTCGTTACTTCGTATTCACGAGTATTAAAACCTTCCCTTGTTCTCCCTTCTTTCTTGATCGTATTTTCGACCATCTTCAATTGGAGAAACTGGAGGAGGGAAGTGAGACTGCTATGATTGATTTGTTTGATTTTGTGGGTGGGGTTGACTTTTTTGCTCACATGGAAGATGCTCACTTTTCTGCTATCCTACCACCACCTCAACCCTTTTCAATGATAACGCACTTGTCTGATTTGCAAGCTGATGATTCAGCTATTCATGAGTGTGTAGGCCATGCAGAAACCAGTCTTGGGCCTCCTACTATAAGGATCACACCCAAGGAGTTCGGTGTTATTAAGCTCACAGCGTTGTTTGTGGCGCGGTATCGGATGCCTTTTCGTCGGGCTTTGATGATGAGAGTGGCTATGAACCCTCTGTTTGAGTTTATGTTCTTTCTCCCGTCTTCTCTGAAGAAAAGACTACTGTTTACGGACTACCCTTCTCTGACGAAGAGAGTACTGTTTACGGACCCTTCGTTTGGGTTTGTGGAGCCAACCGAGATCAGGTTCAATATTTTCAATTTGCTTGTTGATGCGTATTCCAGAGTATTATTCCCTTGCAAAAAGCTGAAGAAGAGTGATGCTTGTACGAGGGCCGTTGTTGATTTTTTTCTCAAACTCCTTCACTTGGAGAGGCTGGAGGAGGGAGTGGCGGCTGCTGTGATCGATTTGCATGCTTTTGTGGGTGGTGTTGACCGTTTTGCTCACCTTGATGATGAAGATTATTCTGCTTCCATGCCACCACCTGAACGCCTTTCAGTGATGATGAACCGGGTAACACTATCTGAGCCTGATATGCTTTTGCAGCTTCCATTGGGATCTCAGCTTGCTAGTGTTCGTAAGCAATACAAATGTGTAGGCGATATCGATTCTTTAAGGGCTCCTACTCTAAGAAGCGTAACATTTAGAGTCCCTGGAAAGGGGATCACACTCAAGGAGCTTGGTATTATTAAGCTCACAGCGCAGTTTGTGGTGCGGTATGGGTATGATTTTTGGTGTGTTTTAACGGATAGAGTGTCTACGAACTCATTTTTTCAGTTCTTGAATCCTTTCGATAAGCAGTTCCGTTTTTACTGTGGGCTTTTACTTGCGTACACTGGAGTGCTAAAACCTTCTAAAAAACACAATAAGCCCCACGCTCAAACGCATCTTTACTTGAGGGGTTTTTTCACCGACTTCAACTGTGGAAGCACAGGAGGGAGGGAAAAAACTATCATTGATAAAGCCCTTTTGCAAGCATCAGGCTTTGTTTAGCATACAGAAGGAT